AAACTAAAGGCTAGAGGTGACCCATAGCTTCCATTAACGTTATCTTGGACAAGCCAAATTTTCTTTCCCCAGACTGAGAATTAGCCGGTTTATTTCCAAAGCAAATCTAATTGGCCCCTTCTCCCCTGATGCTACAGATCCTAACTTCCCAATCCTCCAAATTCTTTTTCAGTTTATCCCCACAGCCCCCAAACTGTAGCATAATCATGCCCTGGTTACTGGTTTTTTTTTTTTTTTTAATATCATGTCCTCATTATTCTCCCTTTGTTTCATCCTAAGCCAAATCTGAAGCAGCTTAAAGCTGCCATGGGCTGTTCTAGTTTTAAAACAATGTCTTCCCTCTTCTCCCAGCACATGTTCCCCATGAACTAGCATGCTGCATCAATACTGTGGTTGTTCATGCCCAGCTCCTGTTAGCCATTTTAGGTTGCTGCAGGCATACTTTGCCTATTCTGGTCACTGAAAACTGTCTTCCATGGCTATTCTGGCTTGGGTTCAGGGCAGACAGGACACCTGGCTTCTGCAGAGAGACCTCCCTGCATACTGCCCAACTAGCACTTTCTACGGTGCTTGTCAGGTTTTATGCAGACTCCTTATAAGCACAGGTTTAGCACTCTTCTGAAAGAGCACTAGACCTGCGTTGAAAAATTGTACTAGCACTCTCTTCAATGCCACTCAAGGTTAATATCAATTGGGAAGAAGCAGAATGTTTGGCCAGTTGCATGTGGCTGGTTCAATCATTGCTGAGTGCATTATAGACTTGCAGCTGCTTCTTTCGTAAACCAAGGTTTCATAGGCTGTATATTTTAATATATATGTCTTGTCATTAATTAAGAAGACAAATGTCATATGATTTCCTTGAATCTCCTCTCCTGATTTTGATGTAAATCTCAAATGTCCTTCCATTACTAAACACATCGAAGTCCTTGCTGGACCCTGTCTCAATGCATCTTTTTTCAACAGCCATGGAAAGATATAAATCATCCCTAAGCTCCATTGAAACTTCTGTCTCTAAAATGCATCTCCTAATTGGGGGACAGGGGAAGGGAAATTAATTAATGTTTCTCCACAACATATCTGTTTATTAAGAAATTATGTACTAGGAAATTAGGTGACTTGCAGCGAAATGCATTTCTTAATGGTTGGGCTGACATTTTAAGTGATCAATAAATCACATAAATATTAAGACCTTTCTGAAGGAAGATAATAAAGTAAGGCATCTGGAAACAAGAGTTGCTGCTGCTACTTACAATTACCACCCAAACAAAACAGTTTTATTGTAAGTGTAACTTTAATCACTGCATAAAAAAGACAGTTAATCAAACACTTGGAGATGGGTGGAGAAAGATGCTTAAATAATTTATTAGTTGAAAAAGAGGGAGGGAAAGGTGTTTCTAATGGTTAATAATTGCTTGGTTTTGTTTTGTTTTTTACAAAAAAAGAAAAAGAAAAAGAAGAAAGTAAAATTTGCTATCTCTTAAGATTCTTGGGAGTAGGAAATATGACTTAATTCCATGGAATCTCTCATGGATTGAAGTAGCAGAGTTTCGGTTGATTCCTCTGGTGGCAGTAAACTAGCTTTCCATACTAAGTTTGGAAGTGATTTATGATGATCATTTTGAAATATTTCAAGAAGCAGTTTGCAAACATTCTACACCTATGTATATTAAATACACATCAAACATGGAGAAGCTACACTTTTCATTTTGCCAAGTGAAGGCCCTGTAATAAAGGTGACAAGTCAAGTATGGAGATCTATAAGTAGATCTTATAAGAGGGTGTGGTATGGAGACATGATGAAGCATTGGATTCTTGTCTTCATATGTTTATGCCAAAAATAAATGTGGATACTTTATCATTGGAAGGATAGCTTAATAATCCTATGCTACGTATTTACAGTAAGGCTTATTTACATTTAGGCTAAAATGGTATTGCATGGTTTATGGTTTAGCAAATTAAAGGAACTCAGTGATTGTTTTAGCATATTGGGGGAACTGGGTCATCATGTTCAGCCATAATTTGATTTGTTTCTTTGGGAATAGCATGTTTTATGAAGACAGGAGTGATATTTTTAAACTTGGATCTAAGTTTAAGTACAAACCCAGCCCAACTGTGTGAACAGTTAATTTGAATGCCCCTGTACCACCGTTTAAATTTTCCTTCCCAGATTGAATTTTCCAGATAGCCTTAAGTTAGGGCTATTGTGTTTGGGCTGCCAAATTCTGTATCCTTACCAGATGGCAGCAAAGAGTTAGGGGTTTGTATCTGATTGCTGTTATCGAGTGGGCATTTGTATTTTTACAGCAAAAGAGATGGCTCATGCTACAAGTTTTCTCAGTTTTGGGGTTGATTGGAGTGAGAGTTATCTTTGTGTTTCTAAACAGGTCTAAAATCTATTTAGGGATTATATTATAGTTTGTGTGCATTTTCTACCTGAAAACACTGAGAAACTTCGTGTTACTGAATTTGAACAGAAATCTAGGCCACCACAAAGGATTGCTTTCTTCTCTGTGAAAGGCTTGACAATCTTTGGTTTCAACAAGAAACAACCATGTGTGGTTGGGTGGGTAATGATTTTGTATGATATGGGCAAGGTGGAAAGTGAAATGTTTGTATTTTATCCAGCTAGGAGAAAAGACAGATCATAGACTCCAGTGCATTTGAAGTATCATTCTTCATATGATGTGTGCATATGGTTCAGATAAGGAAGGGTTAAATGATTTAACTGGCATTACAAATCCTAATGTTACATATAGATTAATGGTCTGTGAACTACCAGTGAGTGACCAGGAAAAAGATCTTGGGTTATGGTGAAAACATCAGCCCAGGAAGTAGCTGCTGTGAAAAATGGCTAGACCATCTTGGAAATCATTAAGAAAGGAATTAAAAACTTAACATAAGGTAAAGTTTGTATAGTTTTTATGTTTTCTGTAATTTTATATATATTTATTGTTTTAATGGATCATGTGAGCCACCCAGAGTTCCCCATTAGAGGGAGATGGGCGGA